CCCCCCCGCCTTTTTTCTGGATGTATGGGTTTAGTTTGCTTACCTTTCAAACAAAAGTGTAAGTTTAGACCCAATTTAATTTTTCAAAAATACTGAATATTTAACTTGAAGTTATTTTAGATAATGGGAAACCAAAGAACTAGATAAAGGGAATTGTAACCCAACCGTTCACAAATGAGGAAAGTTGAGAAGTCCATGTATTCATGGTAGAGCTGCAGAAATATCAGGCAGTACACTAAAACTTGATCAATAGGGGAAGTATTTTTGAACAGGATGGACTGTCGTGGATCAGCCAGTACTACTTGTGATCTGCCTTTGGAATCAGTTTGACATTGAAACACATGAGGTATTAATTTCATCTTTTAGGAGAAATCTCTCCTGAGATCACAGTCTGCTCCAATCTGGACTGGTTCACAGCTGCCATCTTTTCCCAGTACCCTAGATCTTCCCTTTGTCTCCTGTCAGAGCTCCTATTTCCAGTTAAATCCCATTATTTCCCTTTTCTTTGATTTACTACCACATATTAGTGAAGTACATCCTGCAACAGCTTTCAAGATAGGAAAAATAAGAGGTAAATTTTTTTGAGACCTTGCATGTTTGAAAATGTCTTTATCTTACCCTTACATTTGATTACTGTTTTGACAGGGTAAAGAAGTCTCAGTGATATTGGTTTGTTCTGACTTTTTTTTTTCCTTTAGTCGCTGTTTCATGTTATGACCTTTCCTCAGAGTTCTAGTGATCTTGATGGTTTACCCTTGTTTAAGAGAGTGGGACACTAAAAAGCTGATCATAAGCTCTGATAAGGGCTGGGATGGCTCTTTGTGAGCCTCACCATAATATAGCGGAGCTATTTTGCTGGAGAACCCCCTAATGTCAATTTCTTTAGGGCTTTCCTTTTGTCTTGGCAACTAATCTTCCGTCCTTCTGCCTGGAGGGCAAAAGCTTGACTGCCAGGGTCTGCTCACGTCCCCCTGTATTGCAGCCCTTCTCTTTTGCGTCTGTAATCCGTCTGTTTGTCAAGACTAACTTGTCCCTTGTGATAATATTGCGCCTCTCTCCTCCTCTCCCAATTTGTATCCTTTCCTCCCTTTAAAACCTGCTCAAGATGCAAGTCCCCGACAATTTCTTCTGATTAACTCCTCTAGCAAACCACCACCAATTAGATGCCGCCTTCCCACAACTTTTTTTTAACTATAATTATACGCATTTATGTTCTCTATATTTGTTACATGCACTGAAAACCTCATCCTGTATGGTGCTGTGTACCCCATGGGTGCTAAATAAAGGCTTGCTATTGGCAACAGAGTTTAGGGTTGGTTAATTCAGCGTCGGTTTAAGATGCACCTATTTAGGCCAAACTCAGGGTAGAAGTGCAATAAAAAATTTTTAGGAGAAGAAACGGATGAACCCTGAGAGCATCTCTCTAGCTGAGCGCAGGCGCTTTGGCCACCTTCCCTCCGAGGAAAGCGGGGGCGGGGCAGAGAGCTCCTGGTGTTTTTTGTCTTTTAAAGCAATGCAAGCTACGAGTCACGTCTAGGCAGATCCGAACTTCCCGTTTGAATGAGAAGCCCAACTTGTAAAACCCAGCTCGTCTCTTTCTCGCTTGGGACTTTCCCTTGGGGGGGGCGGGGGGGCGGCTGGCAGGCGGGCGGCTGGGGGATCCGGGTTACCATTGACTTTAAGGAGCCCTGGTGGCGAAGTGGTTAAGCACTAGGCTGCTGACTCATTCGCTGGTAGATTGAAAAGAAACGAAACTCTGCGCTGCCGAGGCGGCAGGGAAGCGGCGCAGAGCCTGCAGCCGCCTCAGAACAGCTATGGCGCAGGCGTGCCAGCCGGGGCCTGACGACGGCCTCTGCGGGGCTGAGGCCAAGCCTGCGTGGGGCGCGCTGCCCCTGCCAACCGGTGAGTGCCGCGCGGGCGGATGGGCGCGGGGCGGCAGGCGGGCCGGGGGCCTGCTCGTGCTCCAGAGCCGGGGCGCTGGCCGGACAGACTCGGGCTCCACAATCGCGTGCCCCTCGGATAGTTACCTACCGCGCCCTGCTGTGTGCCAGGGGGACGGGGCGCGGCCCTGCGTGGACAGGAGGTGGCTCTGCGCCAAGGCCTCTACCCAGGGCGGCATGTGAGAGGCGGTATGTCTTTTATTTACCTGTGCCGCTGGTGAGGAGACAGCCCTTCGCTAATTGCCCTACGGCGTTAGAACTGCAAGCATCAAGGAACCCCGAGCTAAACGGGTTTGCTCTCCTAGCAAGCCTCCACTCACTCCTAATACAGTTGGACGTCATGGTAGAGGTAGGAGGAACCCTATTGAAGAAACGGTCCACTGGTCTTAGGGAGAAGCTTGCAAAGTCTTCACTCGGGATATGACTGTTTTGAACCTATCTCTTCCTCTCCACTCGCTAGTTTAAGTCCTCATCGACCCTCTCCTTGAGTGAGCAAAGCCTTCTGACTGGGCTCCTTCCTTTCACTTAAACATGGATAGAGCTTCTGTATGTGCCGGGCGCGGGGCTAGATACTGGCGGTACAAAGATGAGTTAGGTCTAGAGAAGCTTACGTTGTTAGGTGCCCATTGAGTTGATTCCAACTCAGCGATCCCATGTGACAGAGTAGAGCCTCTCCATAGGGTTTTCTTGGCTGTAATCTCTACGGAAGCTGATTGCCGGTCTTTGTCCCTCAGAGCTGCTGGGTGGGTTTGAAACTGGTTAGCAGCCTAGCTGCTTAAAGGTTTTGCCACCAGGGCTCCTTGAGAAGCTTATAGGAACCTTTAATATGATGTGGTTTAAGAACCACAGGGGCACAAATGAGGAGCTCTTATCCAGAGAAAGCTTTTTGCAGGGCTTTAAACCAGTTCATTCTGATTTGAACCCCTGCTGAGAAATTGCATTTCCACCTCCAGATATACTGAATCAGAACTGACACTTTTAAAAGATACATAAGAATCAAAGCCCTCTGTGATCATCAAGGTTGTGTGCCAATTTGGCTGGGCCATGATTCTCCGTGGTTTGGCAGTTATGATGTAGTTTAGCAGTCATATAATGATATAATCACCTCCATGATGAGATCTGATATAATGTGATCACCTCCATGATGGGATCTGCTGTGAGTAGCCAATCAGTTGAAAGGGAGTTTCTTTGAGGGTGTGACCTGCATCTGATATAGGTGGACTTTCTGGCAAGGCTGGCTGCTGTTCATCTGACCTCTTGCTTCTTGGGACTTGAGCTAGCAGCTTTCCTGCCGATCTTGGGATTGGTCAGCCTCCACAGTCTGTGAACCTGTGGCCTGCTAGCTTATCTGCCCATCTTGGGATTCCCGGGCCTCCACAGCTATGTGAGTCATGAGAAGCCTCCAGCCTGACCCACAGATTTGGGACTTTCCAGCGTCTACAACCGAGTGAGCCATTTCTTTGATACAAATCTCTCTCTCTTTATATATATACATATATATATAGATGCTTAACTGGTTTTTCTTCTTTAGAGAACCCAGCCTAAGACACCCTCCAGTAGTTTCCTGTTACTAGCAGAATAACCCCTTACTGTAGCCTGCAGTTTAAATGTGTCCTTATCTGATCTGCCTCTGCCCATATTGATGACTTTCCTCCCCTCATTGCCTCCTTCAGCCACTCACCTAGCCAGATTTGTCTGTGCCTCAGGATTTTCCCATTTACCATTCCCTTGCAAGGAAAACTCATCCCCACATTGTCCCACTTTTCACTTCCTCACTGTATTGAGGTCTCTGCTCCAAAGTATCCTCCACAGCCTTGTCTGCCCATCCTATCTAAAATAGTGCCCTCTTCCCACCTCTGATCACTTCTCCACTGCTTTCCTCTGCTCTGTGGGTAACACATATGGTTAAGTGTTCAACTACTAGTTGAAAGGTTGGCAGTTTGAACCCACCCAGGGACACCTCAGGAGACAGCTTGGCGATCTGCTTCCAAAAGCTCACAGTCTTGAAAACCCTGTGGAGCAGTTCTACTCTGCACGCATGGGGTCAGAATCAACTTAACGACAACTAACAATTTTTCTTCATAACATTTATCACTATCTGAAACATGTATTATTTACATGGATACTTGTTTATTGTCTGTCTCCACCACTAGAATGTAAATTCTGGGAGAGTTGAGACTCTCACCTTGTTCTTTACTGAATCCAACTGCCTAGAACAGTTTGCCTAGTACCTAAACTGATACCTAGTAGCTCCTCTTTAAATGTTTATTGAATGGATGAATGAGTTTGTATGTTAACATTAAGGAGCTTGGCTTCCATTCTGTAGGAATGGTTTTTTAATCAGGAGAGAAATGCAGGAATGTATACATTTTAAGTCAGTCACTCTGGCAGTTTTTCTGATAATCAGATTGAAGATGCCTACCCTCACAGCCCCTCAGTTTTTGTATCTCTTCCTTCAAGAGACCAGCCCAATCTGAATCAAAATCTTCTATTCTGAATTCTGTATATCTAGCAGATGGGCAGGTGTCCTCTGGTGCTGTCATTTGTGTCCAGGGAAATGGATCACATAGTACAAACATGCCTGCTGGGGGTCACACCTATGTTTCAGGGGGTCATCGTGAGCTGACGGATAGCCTAAAGGAGTCCACTGAACATTCCACCCCTCTGCTCCACCATTCCCCCCAACACACATATCTATATTCCTATTTATACATTCTAAAGGTATCCTCAGTAGTGCAGTCTGGCTCTCCCAAATACACATTCAATTATGCTTCTCCCAAAGTTATATCCAGCCGTGTCATTCAGAGACAATGTAATGGACTCGTTCATTCTCCAAGTCCACAGCCTCTAGGTAATGTCCACTGCTCTTCTGTTTTGGTCTCTATCTAGTTCCGATATACAATCACTGGACTCAGTGATAGATTTG